TGTAGATGGGCATCACATTGGCAAGTCCCTGGTCACCCGGGACCTCCCCAGTAACCAGGACTGCTGGGAAATGATGGAGAGAGGCTTGGCCAGTTCCTCCACCAGCTCCCTCAGCACCCTCGGGTGGATCTCATCTGGCCCCATGGACTTATGGGCGTCCAGTTGACTTAGCAGGTCCTTCACTGCTATTTCCTGGATTATGAGGGGATTATTCTCATCTACATCCCTTTCTTCCAGCTCAGGGGACTGAATGCCATGAGGATAGCTGGCCTGACTATTAAAGACTGAGGCAAGGAAGGCATTCAGTACTTCAGCCTGTTCCTTATCCTTGGTAACAGGGTTCCTCCTCACATCCAGTAAAAGGATGGAGATTCTCCCTGGTTCTTTTTTTGTTGTTAATATATTTGTAAAAACACTTTTTATTGTCTCTCACAGCAGTGGCCAGGATGAGTTCTAGCTGAGCTTTTGCCCCTCTAATGTTCTTTCTGCATGACCTAACTAAATCCTGTGCTCTTCCTGAGTAGCCTGCCCCTTCTTCCAAAGGTGGTAGACTCTCCTCTTCCTCCTGAGTCCCAAAAAAAGCTCCCTGACCAGCCACACTGGTCAAACCTGGACACCCGCCAGCTTGTCTTACGGCCCACGGGGACAGCCTGCTCCTGTGCTTGTAAGAGTATCTTCTGGAAATAAGTCCAGCCTTCATGGACCCCTTTGCCCTCTAGGACTGTATCCCAGGGGACTTCCTCAACCAGCTAGAGCAAGATGATGCCAAAGCAAATCCAGAAGAAAGGACGGTAGATGAAATCTCGGGTGGGATCCTGCAGGCACTGTGGTGATAGGTGGTCCGTAGTGAAGCCTGGGCCAGGAGTCTGCTAAGAAGTCCTTTCTGGATAGCTAATGAACTTGCAGCTGAAGCAGGTTTGGGAGGGCAGGAAGTGCTTAGAAATGGGGTGTGCGTGAGGCCACGTGGAAGAAGAGCAGTGGGATGGTGTGGGGTGAGTGTGAGCTGGCTGTGTGAGCGGCGTGGCTGGGCTCTGGAGCCGCCTCCCCTGCGCTTGGGCGGGAGGCACTTTCTCGCCTGAGCTAGACTTCCAAGTAGACCCCAAAGTTTACATTCTGTAGAAAGTCTACATCCCGAATGTTTGTTGATAGTGCCAAGGCCTTGTATTTACTTCTAGTCGCCTTTGGTCTAGGAAGGTATGATGTAAGTGCCCTGGAGGGGTAAATGGCTGTTCTGTTTGTTCGATCGTTTCCTGGGGCCTTTTTGTAGATGGGTCTTGGGGTGATTGTGGAAGACTCAATCCCCTCCCTGTCAGAGCCGAATCTGCTCAGCAGGGAATGTCTTTGCTGCAAACAGAGCAATTCTCAGACAAAGCCAGGATGTAACACCCTGACAGAAGGATCTGGGCATGCGTTTCTCAAGGTATCAGCTGAGCTTAACCAGGCTGGCCTTGGAAGTGAGAACACACTGTGGGAGCACCTCTGGAGGCACTTGGGTATGTGTGAAAATATTTGCTTGGGTGTGCACCAGAGGACTTGTAACTGTGTTAGTGTCAGACCAGGGTCTCCCATTGTGATACAGAGAGTGAAGCTTAGGACAAGTCATTCTTCACTGTCACCTGTGCAAAGGAACTCCAACTGTTTGTGTATTTGTCTCTGCACCCTCACCAGGCTAACTTTTTTCATCCCTGCTGTTGAAGTGAGAAGAGGCGTGGATGGGCTCCTCTTGCCTGCAGAAGCTGCTCACATGTACGCTCAGTCTTGTCACGGCTGGATCACCACAACAAAGGCTGCTGGGCGTGCAGCTGCAGAAGTGCTCTGGGGAGTAGTCGTGCACTCGGGTCTCATCCCACCCTGCCCATCTAAAGCTGCCTGTCTGTGCTGCAGCCAAGGCACCAGCACCTTTGTTTGAATCTTTCTATGCATGCTCAGTTACTGAAATAACACTTGAGTTGCAAATCTGTACTCACCCACCCAGAGAGACCTACATGCCTTCAGGGCTGAAAGGCCAGTCGGACCACTTACTTGGCTTGGGGAAGTCCTGAGATACATGTCTGATGAATTAGGCTACTGCAAACAGAACACCCTGTCTCTAAGAGGGAGAAGTGGTCAGGATTTTTCATGGCACATACCTGGCTATTTAAATTTTTCACATTTCCTTCCCTGCCTGCCACGTCCAGATCAAACAAAGCCTTAAATTCATCATTGTTCCAACGCCTTGTCTGCTTTCCTTGTAATTACACTTCACACATCCGCACCTTTTTAGAAGCCTTCCTAGTGTATTTGCATTTAGATGGAGAATGACAACTTTCATGTTCCCTGTGTAATTTATAATTAACACCTTTTCTGACAGCATTCTATTAACGTCAGGGTACATGGGGTGAGGTTGAAAGCCTGTGTTTCTTTTAGAGACTTCATTTCTGCAGCATCACGAGTGGAGAGGCTGCCTCTTGGTTTGTTCAGGTGCCTTGACTATGGCAATGTAGTTAAGTGCTGTTACTGAAGATTGTATCAACTGGAGTGATTGTCACATTTTTCCAGCTGTTCTAAGCTGCTGCTGTATGCAGCTGTTAAGCCATGCTGGCACCCAGCGCCAGTTCCTGCTTTGTGTTAGGAGCATCCTTTTGCTAACAGCTTCTGACTCTGTGTGTGTTGTGTTCTTGCCTCTTGGGAGCTCACCACTTTGGGAGGGGGTCATTTGCTTGTGTTATATATATTCATTGTGAGGCTTTCTTGGCTATTACAATCAAAAGTTTTCTTCTCAAAGGATAAAGAGTGTGTCTGTGGAGATTGAGAACAATCAGCTCAGCTATGAGAGCTCCCCTCACTGTGGAGGGGAGAAGAAATAGAGTGCCATGCTGCTTCAGGGGGCACGGCAGCTTGGAGCACTCCTACTGGGAGCATTTTCATCTGCAGAGCATGTCACCTCTCTTGCAATTATCCAGGGCTTGTCTAGTGTGATATTGCTACAGGCTTTCATTTACACCCAATTAATATTTAGGTTTTAAACATTTCAGTGTGTGAGGGAAAATCCAAGTAATAAACTTTCCATTTGTTTGCCTTTTTGAGAAGGCAGAGAAGAGATTGTTACTGTCAATTATTTGCATCTTTTCACAAATTTTCCTCTTTTTGAGCTTTCAGTAGTTTGTAGACCAGAAATACTGGTCTAGATCCTGGGGTGTGTTTCTAAGGGCATAGCCGTTTGAGGATTTCAGGTCTTTAGACTCATTTCTGAGAGGGTTTTGTCATGTTTGGAGAACATCTAAGAGTCCTCAGTTCCTGCCAAAGTCACTGGGCACTGCAGGGGCTCAGCTCTTCTCAGGACATGTTCAGGCTTCCTCCCGGGAACTGCTTGACAAAGAAAAGCCTGTTGATGCTGGAAGGAAGCAAAACCCTTTTAACAGCTGAGTCATTAATTTATTTTTAAATTTGGCAATAGGTGTAGGAAACAAGTAAGAAATTGAACCCAGAGATTACCACAGAAGAGGCAGAGTGGGAAGATGCTTAGGTAAGAGTGATTTTTGTCTGGAAAAAGCCAGCTTAGCTTTTACTTAAGCAAACTGGCAGTTCCCTGCTGCCTGTTTGCACATCCCAGCCATTCACCACTTCAAAAAAAAAAAAAAAAAAAGAGTCCATTTTAATGACAAAACAGCTTCAACAAATTTGTGATTTCCTGCAGTTGTACTAAAAGGAAATGTTCTCCCTTAATGTTCTGGAGGAAGAGGTTCTGTTCATTTGGAAGGAAGTGAGTGTCATTTGAGTGTTTGCCTTTTAGCTTTCTTCCACCCCCTTCCCTGCTGCTGGTGTAATTCCTTTTGGGAGCCAGCAACAGATCTTATTAAAATTAAAACTAAAGTAGATTTTTATTTTCATTTCATTTTCATTTGGAGGACATGCAGGGCAGGAGGAGAGGCAGAATTTCTTCCTGCAGCAGTCCGTTTTTTGAAAATGTTGTCATGGGCTGGTTTGTGACATATTAGCATCTGAAGCTCTTTGGTAAGGAGGGTGGCCACTGAGAGTGTCTTCAGAGCACATGGATGTTCTCATGGTTCCTGGTCCAGACCCACGCCTGGAGGGTCTCACGGGTCAGCCTGTGCACCTTGCTGAACTTTCTAAACCAGATCTGCTGTTACTGAAGCCAGTGAACTATATTCTCCAGCATGGGCTGCTTTGAGCTCAGGAGTGTTTTACTGTCTTAGTATGTAGCAAAGTATGATTTGTTGGGGTTTTTTTAGGGCTCTGGGCAAGGGGTATTTGGCCATGTGTTTACTTCTTCTGGAGCATGTTTGAAGATGATCAAGACTGCACTAATGTTTCAGGGTAGACATTCAGTCTTATCTGCCTGTGTGAATATGCAAGGTGTTTGGATGTTTGTCATGACATGTCAAGTGTAGCCCAGCTGCTCAGAGTGCAATGCTATTTTTAGCCATCAAATTTTGAATTGTTTCCCCCCAAATACGGACAGGGTGGGACCATGAAGTCCACCAGCTCCCAGGCTCCCATATGCTTGCCATCTTGGTCCTAATCCTGGAGGTCCAATTTCCCAAAGCATTTCCATAAATCACTAAGAAAAGCTTAGGGGTAAGTTTGGTTTTGAGGATTTTTGAGTTCCCATTCTAGAAAACGCTTAAGTATTAGAGGTGCAAAACTGGGGAGGTTCCTGAAGAGCAGGAGCTGGGGTTCACCCTGCAGCTTTGCCAGCAGCAAGGTTACGGCTCCATCCGTAGCAGAGGGGCGGCTTGCTGGAGCCTGGCAGGGGCTTTGCTGCACGGGTTTCCTCTGGTGGCACCTGGCAGGCCCTGGAGACCTCCTCTGCTCTTTGCAGGAGCTCACGCAGGGCCTGAGCTGCCCGTAGTTCTCCAGGGCTTTCTGCCTGGTGTCCTAGTGGTGACTTTGGGGAAGTTGTGCAGTGGTATGAGTTACAGCATAGCCCAGGTCTTCAAAAGCTTTAAAGAGCTTATTGGCAAATACCCTAAATAGCCAGATTAATGGTGGACAGAAACAGCGTCTCCACAGCTACTTGGACTGGGATAACTACAGGCTTGTATTTTAAAGTGGACATTTCATTAGGCAGGAGAAGCTTCTGCTCTGAATTGGGAGTGTCATCTAGTGCAATACACAACTTGCTTTAGAACAAAAGCTGCTCAATGTGAGATGAGGCAGTGTGCACAGAAACTTGACACCTGCATGATAAAATAGCCAAATTTAAAATGAGTTTTCGCTGCTGTCTTGAGGTAGTTTGAGGGCTTGTCTATCACTTGAGAAGGAAGGATTCATCCTCTCAAATGCATGACCAAATAAGTAGCTACTCAGTGTTTGTTCCCTTATCCTTCTGCTTTTAAACCTGTACCTCCTCCTGTGCACTGAAGATGGAGAAAAACTTGAAACGCAGATTGGCTTGATGTGTTTCAGAAAGGATGGCAGAGGTTGGGTGGCAAAGTTGAACAGCACAATGGAGGGGAATGACCCCTCACCTGGCTGGCCAGGCTGGTGGTCAGCTGTGCGTGGCCAGTGGCCTGGGCCACTAATCACCATGGCAGCACAAAGATGGCCTGCAGCAGTAACAATGGTTTTCTGCCTGTTTCAGTGGGCTTTGACCCTCTCTTCTGCTTTGCAAGTTGAAACAATAAAGCAAAACACAAAACCTCTTGGTCAGAATTTCCACTTGTTTGTTTCTCAGCAGAGTCTCTCTGTGGAGTGATTCAAGCTCTCAGTGCCCTTCCAGCCAGGGTATACACACGTGGTTGTGCTCGTATTTGTGGATCACCAGTCATGCTTTTTAATCTTGGTTTACTGTTGATAATGGCATGCTGTTTCGCAGTTTCCTGCAAGAACAGTGATCTGAATAGTGTACCTCTCCTGCCCTTTCGCCCACCAACCACAGAGAAAAACCTGTTGATATCAAGTCATGTTCTGCAGGGGCTTATTATGCAAAGGGAACATAGGTGAACTTGTGGGATCCCCACTGACTCCCCACATCAGCCATCTGGTGTGTGGAGATGATACCCAGCTTGTTAATGGTATCTTTCTAAAGTATTGCGTGTATTTTATGTTTGTTTTAGAAAGTTGATCTACGTTATCTCCTTGCTCATAAATCTTATGTGAAGAATCTGGGATTACTGTTGAAAGCTAGACAAGAGGGGGCTAGTGAAGTCTGTACAAGATAGAATGCTTGACTCTAGTAGTGTGTGGAAGCTGTTACTCCAGGTCCTCAGTGCTCTATGGGAGTGGCCACTACAGTAGTACTATAGTGGTGGCCATGGAAGATGAAATACTGTTGCGTGTGCCTTACTAAAGAACAGTGCAGATTATAAAGTGATGTGGTATGCTCTAGGAGTAATGTTGGAGTTTTTGAGAGGTAACTGAGGTTGTTAGAGAGGTTGGGATTGGGTCTGTTAGAAGAGAAGTTACTGCTTTTGTCTTGACTTTGCTCCCCGAGAGACTTACGCTCAACGTCATGGCTTTTGTGTCTGTCTCTGTCCCCTCTGAAGGAGACAAACAATCTCTTACCTGGGAAGGAAAAAAAAAAAAAGAGATTGGCTGATTTTAAAAGAATCTGTTTTTAAATGAGATGGATTTGCTGTGGCTCTTCTCCTTATGTATTGTTTAGAGGAACATTTTAAACCACTTTCATTTCTTATCTCGAGCTTCAAGGAGGGATCTGTGCCAGCTCAACAGCTTGTCTCTGGGAGGCCTGCAGCTGAAGTGTGCAAATTGCAGAAAATAAGTTTCCCTTCGACCTATTTTGGGGAAAGCTAGCATGATATCTGTGTGCTGTGCACTCCAGCCAACACCATGAGTAATTTAATAAGTACTAGGGAGAAAAACAAAACTAAGAATGTATATTTGGTGTTGCAGTTGTATAATTGAAAAATATTGTATAGGTCTGAGTGCTTGGCTGTTCATGGTGTGGATCAAGGCAGAAACAGTATCAGGGCAGGCTGAGATGTCAGCAGCATTGTGCAGACCAAAACATGTACATGTATCAAAAGACACAAAGCAGGAGAATGAGCTTTGCTCTTTGTAACACAGTTGTCACACTTGCAAAAAGTAGATCCCCTTTGTGTCTTTTAATTTCCTTTGTGTCTCTCTGTCTTTCAAATGATGAGAATTATGGCTGAAGAACTGACAAGGAAAAGCATGATTGGGAAAACAGCTGATACTCCCAAGGATGAGGATTTTAACTTGAAATTGTCCTTTTCTACTTTAAGCATTGCACTGGATACTACCCATAGGATCAAAAGTATACTTGGTGGAAGCTTCAAAAGAAAAAAGTCATGGGGGGACAAGGGGAAGAGCTGGAGCTCAGCATCTGATTGCAGTAAGCGTCCTGGTTAGTCTGAACATGCTGAATTGCTCCTTACAAGAGAGCTGCATTATTTAAGGGAGGGTGTTGACTGCAGGACAGAGAGGCTGGGAAATGGCAAGTGAGGCACTAAAGGCAGTGGGTTTTTTTCCCTTTGCTCTCTCCACTGGGTTGGCTCAAGTGCTCGTGCAGCCATGGGGGAAATGAACTGAGGACCAGTGGGGTGTGAGGTGCTGATTCATCCAGGTTAAAAAAAAAGAGAGAAAAAATGTTTGTTCTACAGCTGGCATCAGTGTTCCTGACACTGGGTCATGGTTGGTGAAGAGGTTTCAGATGTATCCTTCATGCTAAAAGCCAGCATCTTAGCTGTTAAAACCATCTTTTGTGGTTTTCCTGCTTTCCTTTAAAGAATTTTTTAAAATGTTTATATGAAGGATATTTGCAAAGTAATTTTTTACTTTCTGGAATGTTTGGGGAATGGTGTTTCATTCAGTAAAAATTTTCCAGATAGCTTGAACAGTTAAGTTTAAAAAAATGCTGTCAACCTGAAATGCATTCGCTTAAAAAATCATTGGCACGTTTACAATTTCCAGTAGTCCACGTAGCCAAGATTGGTTATAGTTTGCATTGTAATTCCCCCTAATTTTTAATCTTCTTAGTTGATATCTGCCATAGCTGGCTGCACAAAGCTTTCCAGGCATGTACAGGGCAGCTGACCAGCTAACTGATTATAGGTATGAAGTTGCTCACATGCAGAATGACATCAGCTACACAGAGGAAATGCTGCTGTTATGTGTTGTTGGCAATAGAAGGATTGTGTCTATTTACCAAATCAGAGACCCGAGACTCTTTTTTTTTTAATTGTTTGCATTGTTTACAGAAGGGGTACATAGAGCTTACTGGAAACTGGTTTGCTTTGTTTGGAAATAATTCAGTGTTAACAAAGTTGGAAACTGGTTTAAAAGTTCACAGTCTAGCCTCTGATTATGTTTTTTTCTGTCTTAGTGGCACAAGTACATCTTTGCTGCAGTCCCATGTACAGAAATTTGCCATCAGACATCATTGTCTTGCAGAGCTCACACTGAGTCAGGAAACCACCTCTGCAGTAGTTAGACCTCTTGGTTAACTGTTAGAGCAAAGTCAGCCCCCTGCCTCTCCTTCAGGGATGGCTAAACTTTCGGTAGATGACTACTGATGTGGGATTTGAGAAGATATCACTGGTGGGGGAGACAAGGCTCTTCTCTTCCAAACTGGGACACTGGAAGTTGAGTGTGCTAAGAAGAATGTAGGAATTGTATGTATGCAGTAGACTGTGCAGTAGAACAGATGTAGGAGGGAGAAGCCTGCATCCACGTACACTGTGCCTGCATGCTTTTTCATCACTAAATATTAGAGCTATAGATTGCCTTATTTTGCAGCAGTATTTTACAGACAAGGTATAATTTAACGGATCTGGTTTTCCATTAATTCATCCTGCTATGCATGATGCACAGCTTTCTTTCTGTGTTGCTATGGGGCTGGTGGAATTGTGTGCATCCATATGTGGTTGAGGAGGAGCAGGGGGATTCGACTCAGTGTTTTCCAGATTTCTGAGACCTTCTTTTTAAATGCACTTAAAGCAATCAAATAAATGTAACTGGGGTTTGCCAGGTAAGCAGCTTTCCCAGTGTCCATTTAAAGTAGACAGTAAGTTTTTAATACTGTTTATAAAGTAGGCAAAGATCAGTCTCTGAAAGTGGCAATACCTCCAAAATAGTAGATTCCTTTTCACTCTCCTTTTTACTCAACTCTTTGTTGGTGCAGAGGTCTGGAGGAGAGTAAGAATGGCAGTTTTCACATCACTAGTTGCAGCTGGATTTGCCACCTCATGTGCTTACCACCCTCATTGACTTTGTCATTATATGTTTCAAAGTTACATGGATGGATAGTTTTTTGCCTTCCCACACTGCTTGTTGTATGGTATCAGGAGTAGAAATCACTGAGGAGGATGCTTGCTATACCTCGTGGGTTACATGACTAAGCAATGTGGCAAACAGTCAACTCATTTGTCAGCTGGAACCACCATGTGGGTTTCAAAATTGCTTTCGTGCTGGACATACACCATTGTCTGAAAATCATGGTTTCTGCACAAAGTCAGAAACTTGTTGATAACACTGCTGTAAAGTGTTAGCCATCCTTTTTTTTTCTTTTTCCTAAAGCTTGTACAACGAGGACAGAAACTTGCTGCGTATTCGAGAGAGGGAGAGGCGGAATCAGGAGGCTCTGCAGGAGAAAGACAAGTTCTCTGAGAAGACTCCCCTCTTTGCAGAGCCCTACAAGGTAATGGTAGGAAGGGTGCGTGGTGGAGGGAGAGGAGGAAAGAGGGTTGGGGTGGAAGAGGAGAGCTGTGGCCTCTGTGTATGGTATAGCAAACTTGAGCATGATACATGCAAACACAGCATCTTCACATCTGCCTGAATGCATCAGAATGTGTGCTTAAAGCTCTGTAAGGGTGCCCGTGCAGCACAGACTTTGGGTTGGGCAGATTTGTCTGGGAGCCTCCTGCAGTCTGGAAGTTTGAGGGAGTGTGCTCAGGATCAGCTTGGCTGCCTGTCTGTCTGCAGCTGTGGCTGAAACAAATGGGTCTGAAGATAATGCTGGTGAAGATTGCAGGCACACCTGTGATCTTGGCTCAGAAGAACCAAAACTGATCAGAGCAGTCTCGCTTTCTTTGGAGAGACTGTATGCAGGAGGAAGATGAGCTTGCATGCCTTCACTCATGGTGATGTGTGGTGATTAGAATAAGGTCCTGAATAATGTCTTTTCTTGAGATGGATCTTTTGGAGCGAGGGGGTCTATGCTTTTATGCTTTTAAAATTTCCACCTCTCTGCCTCTTCTGTTGCAGACTAATAAGGAAGATGAGTTGTCAAGCCGAATTCAGAACATGCTGGGCAATTATGAGGAGGTCAAGGAATTCATCAGCAACAAGTCCCATCAGAATCTCATAGGGATTCCAAACAGTGTCAATCCTCTGATCCCGCAAGGGAAGCTTGATCCCCCATACCCTCCTGAAAAGACCAGCCATGCATTGCCATCTTCATTCCACTGCACAACCCGCCACCCACCCGTGGGACCTGTGGCTGTAGGGCCTCCCCCTCCAAGCCGCTCCGTTCATTTCGGAGCCTGTGGCTGTAGGGCCCCCCCCCCAAAGCCGCTCCGTTCATTACCAAAAGGCACAATCAAGAACAGAAACAGCTTCAGGTTTGCACACCACGAGTCACAGCTTAGCCAGCCGCCGGGGCCGAGGTCAAGAACACAACCGGGATGGGCAGGAAAGCCACCCAGGTATTCAGCACAGGAGAAGCGCCAGGCGTGCGGCTGGTGAAGGTCGTGCTGATGAACTGCAGGCCTCCCTTCCTGCGCTCCCTCCGTTGCTGTCCTCGTTGCCTTTGCCAGTGGCACCCCTGTCACCTTTACATTCCAGCCAGCATATCAATTCCAGGCCACAGAACAGCAGCAAAAGTCACGGGCCGACCTACAGTCAAACAAAATCACCTCAGGACCTAGTGACAGGATCACAGGAGAAGGAAAGTTGTGACAGCTCAGCTGTTAACCTGACCAGCACCACTCAGCCTTCCTCTCAAGCTTTTCCCCCACCTTTGCCATCAAAAACCAGTGCAATGCAGCAGAAACCAACTGCCTATGTGAGACCAATGGATGGCCAAGATCAAGCACCAGTTGAATCACCAGAGCTCAAACCTCTCCCAGAGGAATACCACAGAGAACCCTACGAAAAAATCTCAGATTTGAAGGCAAATGCCAAAGCCAAGCTATCCAAATTGGAAATCCCTTCTGAGCCCATAGAGGTGAGTGCAATTGTTGGGGCGTTCTGTTGCTGACAAGGGTAAGTTCAGCTATGGGAGAACAGGGACAGAGGGCAGAGACTACCAGAAGCAATGATGGCTGTGCCCATGTTACTATGTTTAGAAGGTGTGTTTTGATCTTGGCTTTTGCTGACCTGGGTGTGATACCTTTTTGCATGGTGAAAATGCAACATTTGCCATGATTCTGTGATTCTTCTCAGTGAGGCTGCAGCAGGTTTTATGGTTAGAGACTGCTTTCGTTGCTATGGTTTTTGTTTTGCCTCTGAAGATTGGTGAGAAGGAGAAGGATGAAAGGATATGCTAAGAGGGTCAAGGGGTGATGCACCTGCAGTTTGTATGTGCAGAGTGTCAGTACTCAGCCTTGAGTGCGGATGGATAGAGGCCCCCAGTCCTTACTGAATGTTAAAAGTGCTCTGCAGGGAGTTCTGTGGTCACCTGGTAGGTCAGAGGTTTGGGGCTTTGTGCTATGTGATGGTGAACACCATGCTGGTCTCCTAAGTTGGTAAGATCTCAAGGTAGACCTTCAGGAAAGTATTCTTGTGAACAAAAAACATCCTTGCAGATTTTTCCCAGGTGGATTTAGCCTACCTTCCTCAGGAAGCAGGACACCATTCTGTCTCCTCTTCACCAAACACCATTTGAGCAAGTTCTGAAGGTTTAAGTAAATTTAGTGCAGAGGTGGAATTTTCAATGATAAACAGGATACTACAAGTTCTCTAAGATTTTACATTTGAGCAGAGGAGATACCTTCTTTTTTGTTCCAACTATGTGCAAAGTGAGCAAACCTCTGCTGTGTGCTATTTCTCATCAGCAGAAGGCAGCCCAGGCAGCAGGTTGGAGCGTAGCTGTGTTCTGGTCACTGACCTGCCCTTCCTGTGCCAGGCCTGAGCGCGGCGGCGCAGGGGCGCGAGTGGGGCGCTGCCGTTGTGGCAGTGGGGCCGAAGGCCGTTTACATGCTTTGCATGTGAACCTGTGCTTATGTCTGCTCATCAGAGAATTGCTGCTTCTTAATGTGTTATTTTCTTGAGAACAAAATACCAGCTTCTTCATTTGCCCTCCATTTAAAAGTTATTAGTGTTTTGGGGGCTTGGTTTTCAATCTTCAGTTAGAATCTGCAGTTTCAACCTGCAGTTAGACTTCTGTCTTCAGGTGCTTTTTTGGTTGTTTATTCTGCTCTTTTGGTCATTCCCATGGATTGCTCTTTTCCAGGTTGAGACGTTGCAGTTGCTTGCAGCAAGGTTTAGTGCAGGGTACTGCAGATTAGCAGGTGCAGTTCAGAACATAACCCTGTTGCTCTTATGCTACTCAAGTGGCCCTCTTGCCAGAGGGAAGAAAATTTCTAAGCATGTGAATTTTTTTTTCCTAGTTCTCCTTGCATATTAAGTTGGTTAGCGATCATAAGCACTGTGTGGCAGAGACTAGTGCAGCTGAGCTGGGTTAGATAAATCTGTGCTAGCTCTCACTTGAAAGAAAGTCAAGTCAGAGTGATTGAGGAGGCTTTTCTGAAGATTCAAGAAAGCATTGCTCACCTGTGTTGGGGCCCTGCTGTGAAGTCCAGTGGCTTCACAAGGAGCAGATGTGGTGTTTAGGAGACAACTAGGAAACTTTAGGGGAAGGAGATGGCTGGAATTAGAATTGCTTCTTAACCAGGCAGTGAAGAAGTGGCTATTTCCTTTATAACCGGTTTGATACAGCAGGATTCCTTGTTGTACTGCCATCTGTACTCTGAAACGGGAGCTGCAGGGAGGCTCCTGCCCTCCCATGACCCTGGCAGTAAATAGGTCTAGACTAGCAGAAACTCTGCTCTCCTTCCCTCTTCTTCCCAGCAACTGAGACCATGGTTTTCCAAATTTTATTTAAACTGTTCATCCCCAGTAGTACTGAGCAGCCACATGCCAGATACAGTTTTTCCCGTGTTCTCCCTTGGTGTGATTTAGGAAAATTATTTCTTCTACCACATGTTTTTGGCTAATTGAATTTCTAAGGCCTGTCACCTGCAGCTGTGAATTCATTATTGACAGCTTCTGTTCATGGCAACACTGACAAGTTAAGCCTTCCAGTCTGAATAGACAAGTAGATTCACTGCAGAGTGAATTAATCCACAGTGGATAACTGTGCACTGACTCACTTTGCATTCACATAAAGAAACTGAATAGCTCTTTCTCCTCTTCCCCAAATAAAAACCTTCTCTTTCAGATGTCATCCCTGTCTCTTTAAAGCATCTTTCCAAATTTATTGTGAGTAGACTTGAAAATATAGCATACATGAAACCTAGTTTTATCCCTTAATGTGCCAGGATTTACCTCTTTGCCCAGCACATAAACAAAGATGCCTCTAAAGCCATTCTCTGTTTTCATGTCTTTAGCAGAGCCACAGCACCAACAGAGACCCCTGTATTACCTCCCCTGACAAAGGCTGTGATGGCTTTAGGGGAATGGGCTTGACAGCAGGGCCAAGAAGCAAGGAGGCTGGTTTGAGGGAGAGTATTTATAAGTCCTCGAACATTAGGAAGGGTGTCTGGAGGAATGTGTAGCACTTGACGCTTACTGAAGATTTGGCTTTGTTTTCTTGGCAGTTTAATAAATGTTAAGGAGTAGCTTCTTTTATCTCCTGTAGTTGAGACCTCCTTGGACTCTCCTCTTCCACCTAGAAACTGGGGACCAAAAACAGAAGCAACTAATTTGAAAAACCAAAACAACAACAAACAATGAAGATGCCTAGATATATTAAGTCTCTTTGGTAGCACTGTGTTTTCCCTGAAGCCCAGAGTATACACAAATAAATACCTTTGTGTTCAAAGTGAGATTGCTGTCATTGAACTCTGTTCACCTCAGTAAACATTTACAAATGGTCACCAATTAAAACATGGTTGTTGCATAGTATATAGTAATGACTGAATACCTGGAAAGAAGTTTAGATGACAAGAATAAAAAGTCCATTCTAGATAAACAATTTCTAACTGACTTCTTTCCTTGGCAACTGAGCTTTTCTACTGGAAGGGCTAGTCAGACAGATGAACTCTGTAAACTAGAGACAAATATATTTAATCCTGTGTCCTTTAAAAATTAAAATCATAAACTATATATAGCACTGTCATTTGGTCTTACCTAATGAATACAGAGTATTTAGCATTATGGTAGTACTGTTGTCTTTCTACCAACTTTGTATTTATCATTATCTGAGTAGAAGGGAGATTGGACTCTGGTTTACCTCTCCCCTTTGCATTGCTTTTTTTGAATCTTTTTTTTTTTTTTCCTGTTTTGCATCAAGTGAGGAACAAGATGTTACTTCTGTGTCTCTTCTGCCACCCTCTTTGGAGTCAGACATGCCTTATGTGGATGGAGAAGGGTTTCCTTGCTTCACCACAAGCATTGTGTAAATTTATCTTCTTGTTGGTGTGTTATTGTTAAAGGAGGAGGTCAAACACAAATAACAGTTGTTACTACTAGATTTTTAGTGTTTGCCTACAGTCTCCAGAACAAAAAGCACTCTGGGAGAGCTGGAGGGTGAGGGCATGTGGGGCAAGGAGCAGGTGGTTGATTCAAAATCAAAAGTATGTCTTGTATTGTTACTTCAGTTTAAGCAGACTCTGATTTTCAAAGTTCATGTGTCAGACTGTAGAAGTCGTTAGAAATAGTCTTGTTCATTTTCCTCTTTGATATTGGAGAAGGTAAACTGAGGTCTGATGTTCAACTACCAACTCTCAGTTGCAAGACTTTTAAAACTGAGATACTTGGCTCCAAGTTCTGTACTTGGCTTTCATGCAAAACACCAAATAATAGAGGAATTGGTTGGTTGGTTGTTTTTTAAAAAGCATAATCCTGCATTCAGCCATCAGACCACCAAAAAATGGTTAGTGTTTGTTATTGCTGCTTGGAAGCCCAGCTAGGGAGTACCAGTGTGAAGAAAGGAACAGGAATCCTGTATCTGCCTGGAGTGTCTGGTAAGGAGAGAGTGCCAAGAAACTGTTTCTGAGAGAGCAGTTGAGCCTCTGCCAGCTTCTCCCATCACCTATGGATCAACTTAGTTCTTTGGCTTACCCCAAACCCAGCCTCTTTCCAGAGCGTCTCTGGGTGCCAACACAGAACATTTTTTCAAATTCAGTGGCTAAATCCATCACTTTGTAAAGCAATGGGAGAGTGAGAAAGAGTAATTAGAAGGTGATTTGCAAATCCTGCAGAGAGCAAGAGCAGGATGGATAATGTCAAGCAAGAACTTCCCTAAACTGCATTGCATCTTTCTAGATGACTCAGAAGTCACCGTCTCGTCCAGACAGCTGTGAGAGACTCAGGCTTAAAGGAGCTGCCATAGCATGTTAATCACTGGGGAGTTTCTTGCTTGATGTTTTTTAGGTTGTTGTTCTTCCTATGAAGAGCTTGTGATCAGCCATCCTTACTGGAATTGGTTATGGTTCCAGCACAGCATTTATACCATTGCCTTTCTCCTTGGCAGCAGTAAGGAGTGCTGTCTTTAAAAAGGAGGGACAATAAAACCACACAAACAATGAAAGAAAACCTGTGTTACTCTGCAGTTTGCAAAGTCAGGAGCCAACAAGCTGAATTTAAGGAGAACTTATGAGCACATCTGTTGTTAGTTACCATTGCTGTGGACAAGAAAGTCAGTGCTTGTTAAATTCTGTGTATGTAAAACAGCTACATTTTTCTGTAATAACCAGTTTTGGATCAACAGCTGTATGTTAATGAGTAAAATGCATATCCTCCAATTATGGGTATGAGTAATTTTCCAGATCTTCACCTGTACAATGGGGGCTGACACAAGTTTAACGAAGGTAAGTGAATAAATGATGTAGTAATACTGAGAAGGTATCAAAATGAAATAGATAATTTGTCTTCAAAGTACAATGTTAGTAGTGGACTCTCGCAGTCAAGCAAGAAACAATGGTGTGGAAGTGAGAGGAAGACCAGCAAGTGCTGTAAGCTGGTCTGTAAAGCTCTGTCTAATAGAGCAAAATGTCTCTGACA